GAGTGACATAACTCAAAATTCGATTTTTTGATCTATACAGTAAACGCTATTCTCATGTCTTCAAAAATGCCTTTCTGATGCTAAATTTAGTATTTTAGAAAAGTATTGATCGTAATTTTGAATATATCAAGAATAAAACGTTGTGTTGTTTGATCTAGTAAGTATATAATGGCACTTTTGAAAATTATGTGTTTAGGGTATCGTATGTTAAGGAATTCCCGAAAGTTAGCCTTTTTTCTAGCATTAATTTTTGAAAATTTTAGCATTTACTGGAATTTTTTATAGTCCAATTTATGCAATATTTTCTGAAGCTACTGGCAACACTGATAGAAAACCAAGAATTCTTTTTCTCTTTGAAGACATACATGTTTTAGACATAATTAAGCCTCGCTTTCATTCAAAAGGTGTACACTACGATGGGTTGAAAAGACTAAGTCTGTAGCCAAGAGTTGATAAATAGCTCTCACAGTTTTGCCGTATCACAGATTAAAACGACTATACGTCACATTTAGACTTACCCTAAAAATAAATTAGTTGTATTTTACAAATTATAAATGAAATAGTTAAACAACATATTTTCATCGTTTATTAGAGCAAACAATTTTGTTTGACCGACTTTAGTATACACCTAGATTTAGCAATGAAACTGCTTTAAACATAACAATTTCATACATATAAGTCTTTATATACTTTTATGTATTTTAAAATTGTATTTTATTATTTTTTTGTTGTATTTTTTGAAGTATCCGTTTTTTTCTCTTAGGTAAAGTATTGCATTCGCTGGCTGTCATTGTCTTTTCCTTCTAATGCTTTTAATGTGTCTTCTGCGAATGTGAAAATGCGAAGAACCAACCACGTTTCAGTGACAATAAGTATACGAATAATGCTGTTGTTGTCGGATATTTTACTATGTTTAAGGATTGTTGCATCATTGTAAATATCCTTCATATGCATTTGTTTATTGCTTTCCATGGTCGGGTTGCTTGAGTACTTATCTCATTTCAAGATCTTCTTGTTGCTAAAGTAAGACAAAAATAAGAAGTTGAGGAAAAAATCATATACATACTATACCGTACGAGTGTATGTGTGTACCAATGTATTTGTATGATAAACAAGCAACCAACAGCAAAGAGCAAAGAAAGATCTTTATGTGTAATTGCATAAATACAGTGTCGGTAAAAACACATTGGGTTGTTAATAGAATTGCTATAAGTATTTTCATTTGTTATTGTAATAGTTGACTATACATACATAAGTACTTTGTATATATATTTAAGTTGTTCAGTTGTTTTCATATAAATAAGAAAGTAATATTTGCTTAAGGAGTTTTGACTGACATTGTTTATTTTTCGTTTTCAAAGTTGTCGTCTTTACACATACTTAGTGTTTGAATAGTCTGTAAGTGAGTAGTGGTATGTAGGTGAGAGTATTATATGTGAATGTGAGTCGGTGTGTATTCTTGATAATGTCAGCTAGTCAGTCACCGTAAAAAGGTAAGTAGTTTTTAAGACTATAATTGAAATTTCTTTCATAAAGTATAGTATTAAAGTCAAACTAAGGAACAATTTTACTTAAACTGGCAACGAGTATTTACTTATTATCAAATTTAAATCTATTTGCTATAAAAAGTACGGTTAAGAAAACGAAAAATTGTTTAAATTGAAACAAGTATAGTTTGTTTTTGTAAATTACTAACATATCTCTAAACCTAATATATCATCTTTGATAATGACTGTTAGTTTAAAGCTGTTTTAAAGTTATAATAAAGCCAGTGGAAATGTACAAAAAATTTACTAAAATTCAAGTTCAAACAGTATACTTAAACATTTTTAACATGCTACATTAATCGACGTTAATGCGTCATAAACACTTAATTTATATAAATGGTTTCCTACGTTTTATGTTTTACATCTAACAATTATTAACAGATTAATGCTTCTAAAAATTACACATACATATATAAGTATATAGCTATGTATATACATTCATACAGTAACGATAACATTACCCTGTCGGATATTATGTTAACTTATTTATAACTTTGCTAACTTATTTATAATTATCTTCAAAGGTAACTCAAAAACGATCCAGAACTGAACAGACATTTAAATAAAATTAACTAATTCATAGCTGCTCTTTAATGTATGCGCCATAAGCTAACTCATAATAAGGTAACTTTAGGTTAGTTTCAATTACATAGAAAAACTGAATTGAAGTCACCTTTGACTTAGTGGTTAATCATGAGGTTAACCATGAGGAAGTTCTAAGTTATTCCAAATTCCTACTGGGTATTTATTAATTAATTTAAATATATGTAAGTATGTATCTATATGAGTAGGAGAATTTCATCAATCAATTTAAATTAAGCATATTGCTCATTGAAGTCGTCAAAACTAAAATTTTTGTTTTCACGAACATTTGATAGGCAAAAAATTTTGTCTACATACATACATGTGTTGCCAGCATATTTGGGCTACGGATTATGACTCGGATTTTTGTTTATATGTATCTCGGTTATTTAAGAACCGATTTTGCTGATTTTATTTAGTAAATTTTACAAAAGCATGTCTGGCAGAAAATTAATTTCAAGAAACATATAGACGGACTGACATAGCTTAATCGAATCCGCTATCTATAAGAATCCAGAATATATGTACATACATATATATACTTTATGGGATCGTATAATTATATTTTAGACATTACAAATGGAATAATAAATAAAATTAGATGAAGGGTATAATATAAAATAGATAATTGATGAAATGAAAAAAGTTTAAAAATTAATTTAAAAAAAGTCAATTGTTATCTTACTCAATTAATCGAATAAAATTAATCTGTTCGATTATTCCCTGGCTAAGCTAAAACCACCAAAATTTATTTACTTAGTTGCTATTTAAGCAATTAAAAAATTTTAAATAAAATTAAATAAAAATCTTCCGCTCAACTAAGGTTAATTAATAAATGCTTTATATGAATACATGAACAGTGAAGTATGATTTATGTAATATCTTCAAACCTTATATGTAAATCATACGCAACAAGTAATATAGATATGTATATATGTATGTAAGTACATAAAGATATTATGTTTATGTGCATCAACATATATGCGGGAGGTAAGTAAAAAGTCTGAAAGTAGGCGTGGCAATGAAATTATTAATTTGTATTTGCATTGGGCATATTATTTTCCCAAGTGTGAATGAAAATTAAAGCGGTTCTTTAAGAATTACGATATGTAACTATGTAAGTAAAACATACAAAAAAGTCAACAAGTAAATGTACTTAATATATGAAAACTGCACTAATACACAAGTACATATACAAAATGTTAGACAAAGAAAGGCGCTCCAGTACCCTTGAAACACGGACACACATTATATCTATGAACATAAGCATTAGTCATGCTCATATAATGTATTCTTTAGTAACAAAACTATTGCAAACAAACTGCAAACCATTGGGTAATATTTTCTGTAGAATACAAACGAAAAAAATGTTCTATCAAAGACGGATCTTTTTAAGGGCATGTGTAATAGATATACATACACATATTATGATTGTGTTTGAATGCAAATGACAGGTGTTTCAAGTAGATATGTACTTATATTCCAACAAACGTACTCTAAAGAATTTCATCTATAAAATGTATGTACTTATGTATGTATATACTTTAAAGATACAACTAAAACTATTTACATGAAGATGAAACTCAAACAACACATGAATGCAAACATTTACTTCCTCCTCGACTAACTAAAGGTAAAATAAAATAAATATTCATGGAAAAAGTAAAACATTACCGACACAAATACGTATGTATGTATATGTATTAGGTCTGCTCTTAAAAGGTATATGCAATTTGACGACACAATTGTTTTTAATAAATGTTCTGGGAAAATGTATATAATTTGTTTGCTTTTTGTTTAATACTATTTATTATATTTATATTAATTTTTCAAACCAAAGATTTTAAAATTCTTACACATGTATGTTTACCGTGATGATTCCTTATACAAAGGATACGTTTAATGTATTTATACAATTCTATGAACAATCGTTTATACTTGCCCAACAAACAAATGCAGTCGATTTGGTAAATTTGTAACAAAATATTATTCATATGGCGGGCAGTCAATTCAGTATACTCGTTATGCATAATTAATCATAGGAAATAACATATTTTGTTATACATAAATTTTGATCATTTTGTTTTATGCAAAATGTATGTTGATTCATATGAGCTAAAGGCCTGCCCAAGACAACAATAAGACAACAATTTGTTAAAAAATATCATGTGCGCAGGCATAAGCAGGCCTTTAATATGAGCCATATCTACCTTATGAGAGCTGTTTAAACCTATTTTGTGGATAAGACAATGTTTGCTTGGTTAAAGTAAGTGTGTATGTCTATTGGAACTGTGTATTTATAACAACGTTATGTCTTTCAATACTAACATGTCAAACATTGACATAAAATGAAAATAGCAACAAAAGCAAGTATGTTTTTAATACACATACTACATTACAATCATTGACATGTGTATCTGTGCTAGCATTTGCATTTGCATGAGTGTGTGAATGTTGTGTTTAACAAACCTCAAGAAGATTTTAAATATTTAAGACCTAGTTTAGAGTATGGATTTTACATGATAGATTTTAATGTTAAAAGCAACGACTAAATTGTATTTTAATTTAATAGAAACATATTTTTAACTTGTTTAGTTTTTAAATCTTAAACACTGAATACACCTAAGATTAGTCTATTTAAATTTGAATTAAAAGAGTTATTTTAGAATATTAGTTTTTAACGACAACAAACAGTTTAAACAATGACACAACTGTAACCTATATGATATATGTATGTATGTACATTAGAGGTGCCCAAAAATATCAATTAGTTTTAGACACTAATGAACAAAATATAATCCATCCAAACAAAAACGATATTTTTTGGACTCCTCTAATGTACACACTACCTTGTTGTTATATTATGGATTAAACTAAATTACTGTTTTCTGCTTTTCTAATCATTAATTTTTTTTAAACATGAAGTTTTCCATTTTTATTACATTTTCAGAACATAATTTAGCTTAACATGGACTCGTCCGAAAATATAAGGTTTACTGCTCCGCGGTTGTCTTTGCCTCTTTTTATGATATCAAGTAAGCAATGTTGATTAATATTAAATCCATATAATATTTTTATCATTTTGTTTCAAGGAAATCGAATAAAATTTGCAAAAATTAATAGTTTGAAAAAATATATAAAGAAAAATATCCATATATATGGGAAACATATTGATCCAGGTAAAAAATATGAATTTGTTAGGCAAAATATTAAAAACGATTGTTTACAGAATTTGAAAGAGCAACTATACAATATTTCCAACATGTCGTGGGTATGAAAAAATATTCCTCGTCTAGGACAAACCATCGGAATTTAAATGTTACTGCGAAATGCAGAATAACAGGTTTAGAAAAATCCTGGTATTTACCACCCAGTCGTTATGATACGAGTAAAAAACCATTTGACAGCAGGTGTGGAATGGGTGGTGCATACTGGCCTAAAAGACATATTCATCAAGCAAAACCTCGACCAAGTTTCCGTCAACCACTTAACAGTTTCTACAACACACCGACTATAACTGAGAGACTTTTCGCACCTTGCCTTAGGACAAAAGGAGTTTTTCTATCAAGTACGTTTCACTAAATATAAAAGATTGTCATTGTAACTTTGTTTGCGTAAAATCTAATGTTACAGATGCCCGCGAACGACGTGCTACAAGCCGATGTATGGTTAGTAATATAGGGACATGTTACAAAAATCCTTCAGAACCTGGTCCAACAACCTATAACCCATCTTGTAAAGAACATACAAATAAAAACTTATCATCAAAGTACAGATGAAATCGATTAATATTCCTTGTACTGTAATTTTAAAAATTTTTCTTATTTTTAGTGTAAAAAAACCGAATCCACATTTGTTTTATAGATTATCAACGGTACCAGTGAAAATAAATAGTATTCATACACGTCATACAAGCTTCACCGGCGCACCCGGCCGTTATGAGATTCGTTATCCCAATATCTGTCCTTGCTCCACAAAACTTGTTTATCAACCTCAAATCAATCTTATAATTGAAAAAGAGAAGCGTAAAAAATTTCGCCGTTTACCGTATCAAGCAATTAAGACAAGATGCTTTACATCACCAGATTGGAGACATGTAAAAGGACGAGGGTTTCGTCATCTCTTTAAAGGAGCTAAGCTCATCAAACTAGCTCTATCAGCTCAAGAGGGCAAGAAACTAAAAAATATTCAACTTTATCCAGATTCAAAATATATTGCAATGATAAACAATCCTTTGCGGACACCGCTGTTTTTAAGACCAAATTACATATCGACTACAAAGCCACAGATTAAATTTAATTGCATTGCAAAGAGAGTTACACGAAAACAATTGAGGAATAATAAAAAGATTGCATTTAGTAGCACCCAAGAGCGTTTCCGTGATAGTTATCGTTTACCCATTCTAACTCTGAGCCAACAAGAACAACTCAAACAGTCCCTGCCATATGAGCGTCAATTTCGAGATCATCCTATTATGAATAAACTGCCATCCGATATAAAATCAAAACTATACCAAACACCAAAACACATGCAACTTAATTATGAGCCAAAGTTAAGAAAAAAGATATTCAAATTTCAAGCGTTACCTCAAGCCAAAGTACTGGTAACAGAGAATGATACAAACACAAGTGAAGCTGGAAGAGAAGGCTATTACTTGAAAATATTAGAAGCTAATGATTTTTTTAAAGATAAAATTTAATTATGATGTATATGTGATTTCGTTAACAAACCTTTTTGGCCATTTTGAGCAATATCTAACAGGGCAGAATAACTCGAATAAATAAATTTTTAAAATTTAACAAATTAAGAAAAAAAAATTGAATTTTTATTTTTAGATTACATAACTTTTAATGGTTCTACTGTAATGTTTAAAGCTACACACACATATATTACAATAAAATTGCAAAAAATGTGTATGTATATGCATACTTATATACATACATATATAATTATTGACAAGATATAAAAATGCACACATATTAATCAGAGGAAAATCAATAAAATACAGAGGTTTTAAATGAAAGGAAATAAATGAAAAAAACATAATTTTTTATTAAACATTGCATGAAACAGTTTAATTAAAAATCAGTTTTATGCTAATTTTTCTTCTTAAAAAAAGCTTATCATTTGCATTCTGTATTGTGCAACAAATTTTTAATTAATTTAAAATAATAAACCAAATAAATTTAAAAAAACTCAAGTAGGAATATGTTTTTAACTTCAGCATTGCAATAATAAATACCTTTTTATTTTCTCTGTTTGGAATAATATTTTTCTGATATCAAAATTGAACCATACATTTTCAAGGTTTGCCACCTCAGCTATAGACAATGGAATAGTTGCTTGAGGATATCAGCATTGTGTTAACAGTTTTTTTGTTTTTGTAGTTGCTGATGTTTTAAACACAGTAAAGCTAATTACTTTGAACGGTTCTTAGAAGTACTTATTCACTTCACTTCCCGTTTACCCTCTGTATCAACAGATTTCATGTTTGTATTTGCATGTAGCATTATCAATGCCAATGATATTGCATCTTAAGGGTACAATTCTGTGTATAAAACTGCTATAAGAAGTTGAGAAGAAAATACATGATAAAATACATTTGATTAAGTTTAATGCCAAGAGTAAGAAAAATGAAAATATTCAGAACTGTTCTGTTCTGTTGTGTTTCACTTTTCCTTTAAGTTTACAATCTACATTTGTATGCCCTACACTAAATCATGTGTATGTAGTATGTATATTGGGGAATAGGTGTTATTATTGATACGCAATAGCTTAAATTCAAAATAATATCTAAATACAAATATTTTATATGGTATAGATCAGTTAAATGTAAAGAATGGAACAAGTCGTATAGTAGACATAATTGTTTTAGTAATTCTCTATTTATTTCGATTGTAGGATATTGCACAGTAGGATTTCACCAACTTTACTTTTTATACTTGCTCTTTCTTTGTTTTTGTTCAAGTAAGTGCAGTTTTTTACTTGAATGTCAATGAATATTTAAATAGATTATGAAAATAAGGATATTGTATGAATGTATGTATAGAGAAGAACGATATTTATTTTTCTTTTAAAAACTATAAAAAAGAAATCGTATTCATTAGAATGATTATTAAAAAGAAACGATTTGGTGTCTTTTCTAATGGATTCATAAAAAACGTTATAACGAATGGAAAGTTTATGGAGGAAAATTAATTAACTTCAAGTTGAAAATAAAAATTATACTGATTAAAGAAAAAGCGAATAAAGACAACTCAATTTTTTCAAAGGTAAGTAAATATATACATATGTCTGCACATATATACTAATGATTAAATATGCAAATTTGATAAATGACTATATATTTTTTTAAACTTTATTGCAATATTTTTTATATCTCCCTTTTTAAACATATCAAATTAAGTATAATAAAAATAAACAAATTTTACTACTGGAGTTTTTGAAATTACAAACAAAAGAGTATTTAAAACTCTACTTATAATCATTATTGTCAAAAATTATTTGCATTCTCTATAGATGTTTTCTACATAACACGCATTCTATCTTCCTGTTCTTCTTATTTTTCTAAAGAGTCTGTTTCCTCTTGTATCACTTTTATTTGTAGTAAAATTTAACGTACTTTACAAAGACAGAAACTGACAAGCAATAACGGACAGAAGTACATACTTATATAGTACATACATATATACGACTGCATTTATTGCTTAAAATTGTAATAAAAAAGAAATATATATCTTTTGTTAGCTGTTCAGGGTGTTACTTTAAGATTTAATCGAAAAACTAGAAATTATATCGCTCATTTACTAGAAGAATTACATAATTCAAAAACATCGAATTGATTGTTATGTTTTATTTATATCATAGATTCTTAGACATTTGATTGTTAAAAAATATTTTTATAATAATGTTTTTCGAAAACCCTACAAATATTTTTATGTTTATTAAACAGGTCCATCCTAATATGGTTAGTTTTCGAAACTACCTTTTTATTTGGATTGGACAGTCTAACATTTTTTCTATATTGTTTAAAAATATGCATTTTTTTGTTATTGAAAGGTTTGCGCAGTTTACAAAATAAGTATAACAAGATAATGTTATGGGCTGCTCTAATTCGCGTTTGTATATACGTACATATGTGTGTGTGTGTATATTCACATGTTCAAATGCGTTTTGTTATGCATACATACATATGTGTGTGTGTGTATATTCACATGTTCAAATGCGTTTTGTTATGCATTTGTATGTACGTCTTTGTGGTAGAAATTAGGGTGTTGCGAATGCCAGTTTTCCGAAAGCGAATAATAATTTTTTTTGCGAATGCAAATAGTACAATTCAAATTAACATTAATTTCCTGGCTATACTAGAGGCGCTAGGGCAAAAAGAAAGAAATGTAAATACTGTCATTTGCCATCAAAAATCTAAATCTGAATCTAAAATTCTTTATTTTGAGTGAAAACATAAAAGTCCATTTTCTGGCTAAGCTAGAGGCCCAAGAGCAAAAAGAAAGAAAATCTGTGATCTCTTTAATTTTCCTCCAAAAATCGAAACTAGAGACCCACGGGCAAAAATAAAGAAAATCTTAAATTTACCACCAAAAATCGATTTTTTGAGCGAAAACATAAAAATTCATTTTCTGGCTAAACTAGTGGCGCTATAGCAAAAAAAAAAAAAAAAATGAGAATTTGTGATCCTTTTAATTTCTCGCGAAAACTTTAATTTTCCACCTAAAATCGATTTTTTGAATGAAATCATAAAAGTCCATTTTGTGGCTAAACTATCTGTGATCACTTTAATTTTCCATCAAAAATCTGTATTTTGAGTGAAAATATAAAAGTCCATTATCTGGCTAAACCATTACAAATATAGCTCGTTTAGTGTTCACCAAGATTTAGCGAATGTGAATGTAAACAAGTAAGCGAATAATTCGCATATGCGAAAGTGAGTATTCGTTACTTCCCTAGTAAAAATATAGAAACAGTTCCAGTGACATTGACTACAAAAGTAATGGTTGTTTGCCATACCAGCACAGAAAGAATATTGTCGTTTGCTAAGTGGTGTTGTTTGCATAAAATAGTAATACAATATTATTTAAATTGCCAGTGAGTTGTTTTCATACACTAAACATTTAGACAAAACCAAAAGAAAGTTCAAATAATAAAAGGGAAAAATATAACATTTGGCAAACTCGAATTTCAGGCACCTTTCATCCACAAATAAATCGTGGTGAAAATTGTTTACAATATTGGTCAATTCCCTGCAATCTCCTGTTATTTTTTTCTCTGAAGGAGATGATTATCATTATGTTGAAATTTTACTTTGGTTATTTCCCAGAATATAAAAATATAATTGATTAACTTACTTGTTTACTCCTATCATAATAAATGCATTATCCAGATATATGATCAATTAATTATTTGGAACCATCTGTAAAATAGAAAATATATATCTTAATATTAAATTGCGTTACATTATTTTTGTAGAAATAAAGATTAAACGGAGGTACATATATGTATATATCTTATATATTATAAAAAAGCTTCCAGGCAATGTAGCTTAGGTTAAAGCAGTCAATATTAATAGCGGTAATTTATCTCATTTGTTAATATAAAAGTTATAGTGACCGATGTAAGTAGTACAAGTCTGGCAAATCTTAGTTTTGATAACTAGCAGGGATATTGAATAGTCATACATTCATACGTACATATGTATGTAAATAAAATATGTACATGGCTCTGAAGTCGTTGTTCATACATTTTCTCTTGTCGTTGTTGCAGTTGTTTCTTTTTTTTGTTATTATTAGAAAATTCATTGCAGTTTGATTTTTTTGTTATTTTCAAAAATGGTTATTATTGTTATTGTAGTTGAATTCTTCAAAAGTTTAAGTAAAAAGGAAATGAAAATGAAAAGAAAAATGCCAAAAACTTCTGTTTGGTTTGTTTTACAATTTTGAATTCTTTTACTTAACTTAGATTGGAGAGTGCAATATTGTACTCGTAAATATATACATATGTATATTTGAATGTGTGTTGAAACGAACTTACTTAAAGTTTGTTTATATGTATGTCCCGGGACAGACATAGTTACACCACTCCAAAGAAAAATAAAAATTAAAGGAGTGGTTGAGGAAATGGCAAGTTAGCTTTTTTCCTTTTATACACTTTCAAAGTAAATAAATATTTTTGCATATTCGCACATACAACAAACATATGTACGTTTGTACATACACATAAACGTACATACGCGTAAAAGTATTTTTCAATATTTGTCTTTCCATAAACTTTATATAAATGAAAAAGGGGACACATTCATATTTACATATGGTTGTTTGTTTGTATGTCTGTCTGTCTCTATATAGGTTAAAAGTGCTTACGTACGCAAATAACTACAAGTTAAATTAACGTTTATGTTTATTGTATTTATTAGAAATGCAAAGTACTCGTTTATTCTAAGGAATAAGTAGAAATGTTTAAGAATTTTTGATTTTCCTTTCATTTGTTGGGCGGGCTCTAAATGTTCTTTTACTAACTAAACATATTTATGTGCACAAATAATTTTAAAGAAATACAATTCATTGATGATGATCAAATTTTTTGCTTTGTAGATGTTTATATCTACTATATCTGGATTTTATTATTTCCTTATGTGTAGGGATGTTTTTTATTCTAAAATTTTGATATTGATTTAGATTTTGGAGGAGGTACATAAATATATTTATATATTTGTACTGTTCTTTGGATGAAATAAATAGTCAATAAGTAATAAGTTTTTTTTGCTTTTTTATTCATACGGTCCCCTAATAGGTACTTAGAGCTGTGAAATATTTAAAAATAAAAGTGACATTTCCAATAGTTTGAGAATGTTGTTCAATTTTATTTCTTTACATTGGTGGCATCGGCATCTCTCCGGGTGGTGGCGGCATTTGACGTTTTGCCTTAAAAGCAATAAAGTGTGAGTTGTTGTTAAAAGTGTTGCCATTATAAAAATGAATATCTCTGTAATACTTACCCGATTTATTTTCGCGGTTTCTAGGAATTCTTTTGGAACATCTTTTGGAACATCAGATTCACCAGGAGGAGTTTCACGACGAATCTATTAGAAAAAAAATAAAAACACACAAATTTTAAATAATTAATTACTAGTTTAATGAGTATAACAAATTCAACTTACTCTAAAACGGGCATTAGGCTCTTCCTGTTTATAGTAAATTAAAATGTTCATAAAAAATGTTAAATAAAATGATATATGATTTACATACCTCTGGTATATCATCGGCAGCAAGATGATCAGCATCACGACGTTTCTGCATGATAAAGTCATTTGATTTTTAATGCTTTAAAAATTAATGTTATGAGTTAAAGTATGTGACACTTACCCTTGATATAGATGATTCAAACTAAAATAAATAAAAAATATGGTTTAAATTTGAAATAGGTTTCTTAACCTAAATATTTTTACCAACCTCAGGAATTTTTTCTGGTGGTTCATCCATGCCCTAAAATTTACATATTTATAAGTGTATTCAGTGCAAGTCCTGTCTGAAATAGTAACTTACCAGCAAATCACTCATTCCTTTCAGTGATTTAGTCTGTACCATGTCCGCCTTATTAATAACAGCAATAATGACAATAATTGTCAAATAAATATGCAATTTCAGCAACGGCTGCATTTTAGTGATTCAATAAAATAAAATCAGGTTTATCAATACTACAGGACACTAATATCAATTGCCTGTCAATAAATTTTCTCCGTTTTTTTTATAACTTTTTCACAACGCGACAAATCAAAGAATTATGCATGCGAACTAAAGCAAACAATGGCAATTTATAGTTTGTTGATAATGAATGCATCAATATTTTATTCAATACTTCACACACATGAGAACAATAAACTTCAATGTTGACATTAAAGAATGAATAAATGAATCAACGAATGTTTGAGTATGAGTGCTAACATGTTTTATATACAATGATGTATATGTATGTATGTATGTTTGTATGAATGTAAATATTATAAGTATGTAGGTATATATTTTTTGTGTAAATGTAAAACATTTTGTTTTATTCTGCAATGTTTGTACATGTAATTATTTGTTTTCATTGATCAAATTGCCATTAAATATTTGATAAGAGGGAAATTAAAAATTTTTAATGTACAATGTTTTTTTCTTGTTGTTTTATTTTTTATGTTTTTGAAAATTTGTATATTACATTACACACCACACGCTCCGAATGGCGAAATAACAATTATTTACAAAATAATTAATTGGATTTAGATTAAAATTTGAGTTAATTTGCAAGGTAAATGTTTTAGTGCTTTTTTATACCCTTTACCTTCGAGAGAAGGGTATATATGAGTTTGTCATTTAGTTTGTAATTTTTATAATATAGTTTTTCGACCCTATAAAGGATATACACATATTTCCTTATAGATAGCGGAGTCGATTTAGCGATGACCATCTGTCTGTGTGTGTGTATGTTCACACAGAAAACAGATCGATGGGAAATCGGTTACCATGATAAATATTTAGTTAAACTAATTAAAATTGTATCGCTGTTATTGAAAATCTGTATACTTAACTGATTTTCTATATTCAGTATTAAAAAACAATAATACTAATCGAATTGTGGTTTTAACAATTTCTAAATCAATAATTTGAACTGAATTGTATCGGTTATTAAATTCATTTGGCAATTCAGTAAATGCAGCCGATTTTATTTAGGATTAAAACGTAAGAACATCAAATATTAGTCGCTACAACCGAAAAACAGTAGAAAGTAAAAAATATTGAGCACTGCAACCAATTATCAATTGAAGTAATTATTTAAAATTTAATTACGGTTAAAGGAACCAAATACTAATCGAATTGTGGTTTTAACAATTTCTAAATCAATAATTTGAACTGAATTGTATCGGTTATTAAATTCATTTGGCAATTCAGTAAATGCAGCCGATTTTATTTAGGATTAAAACGTAAGAACATCAAATATTAGTCGCTACAACCGAAAAACAGTAGAAAGTAAAAAATATTGAGCACTGCAACCAATTATCAATTGAAGTAATTATTTAAAATTTAATTACGGTTAAAGGAACCAAATTCGATGTGCACAACCGATTAATTGGTAATTATAGTTGACGTATACAAAAATAAATAAAATAAAACGAATTTATAATATAAAAAAAAAAACCTAATTACATTTGAGGATAAATTAATGCAGAAATTTGGACAAAAAAGGTAATGTTTGGTGTATTTTATATCTTATAATCTATTTTGTGTTATTTTTCTATAATTTTTAATAATAGGGGAGAAGTTATTTTATATTTATACATTTTGTAAGTTTATACATATTTATATTTTATTGTAAATACTTTACACAAAATAAATATATTTTCAAATACACATAATCCACAAATTGTTTTTCTATAAATAATATTTCAGTTTCTAATACCAATAATTTCAATCCAGATTACCGAATAATAATTAAAAATTGTTGTGTACACCATATATTCAGTAATACTAACCGAATTATACAATAATTACAATCGAATTTTGGGGTAGTTGTTAGAACCGACTGAATTCGATTGGAAACAAATTCGGTTATCACAACGAATCTGTTTTCTCTGTGTTGAAATCAGTTTTCCGAAGAGCTCTGATATCTGAGAGATCCGAATCTTCAATACTTCGTGAAGAATGTTATTTAAAATCAGCAAAATCGGTCTATAAATAACGTAGAAATATACGAAATATCATCAAAAATTGAGATTTAGGGTTATTGCGAATGCCATAAAAGTAAATTTTCCAAAAAGCAACACCTTGATTGAACATAAATCTATAAAAAGGGACTTTCTGGTACTTTTTCGTTTCACAACGTGTATTTTTAGATTGTTGTAATAAAATTCATTCAAATTTCGGCTATGCCGAATATAGAACTCTTACATGTTGTTATTATCATTGTTAGGTTGTTTTGTTTCAATATTACTAAAGACAATTGAATGAATGAATATTTGTGTATTTGGTATATTTGGTATATTTTGTTATTGTTTATAAATATATAAATAAAAAATTAATATTATTTGTATCAACTGCATTTGTTGTAAAAAGTATTTGCATGTTTGTATGTTTACAACTGGTAAACAATACAATTGTATAGCTGTAAATTTGCATAGAAAGTTAATTGTAATCACAATTAATGCCTTGTTTTCGTTGTTGTTTTTATTTTAAAAATTATTGTTATTGGGTAATACTTGCATTTACTTAATTATGTTAATTTTCAAATGATTGATTACGAATTACCTATATTAGTGAATGTGCGTGCGTGTTTTTTTTCTTTGTAAATGAAAATGTACGATTGAAAATTGTTTAATTTAATTAGTTTCAGTACTTTGATAATTGCCGGTGATAAATAATACATTTATTGCAATAGTTATCAACAATCATTGTTGTTTTTTGTTTGTATTTATTTTAAATATTAATGATAAAAAGAAAATTAGGATTTGTGTTTATTATAAAAATTTGATTAATCAAACATGAAACAAAATATGTTTAACCAAATAATTATTGATATTTTCAAAAGAACGAGTTAAGTACAATGTGAACAAACGTTTGTAGTTATACTAACTGGTACTTTAAAACGAAATTATACTTAAATTAAAAAATAAAAATATTTGAATTTCACCAGTACGTAAGTGTGTTATGTATGCAAATATGTAAAAGCGTGATATAACATAAAACCTTATTAATTGAATTTATCATTGATAAATTAATATTTTCTTTAAGTTGTTTAAATCAATCATTTTACATTGCTGTAAAAAATTATTGCAAAATAACTAAAGATTTTTTAAACGTATAGTTACATTTTACTAAGTAAAACATTGCGATAACTTGATAAAACCACATTGTCGTGGCGCCAAAAAATCTAGCCAACTTTCTTTTTTGTGTATGTTTTAAGTGTCTTGAATGTTTTTTAACACTTTAGCAACGTAGTATAATTGTTTTGTTTTTTTCATGTTTGAATTGTAATAAAAAAATCTTTTAAATGTGAAAAAATTAAGCTCTTGTATCTCGTCAAATAATGATCTGAGTATACTATATATATGCATACATACATATATTTGTTTTTGATAAACATTTTTTTTTTTTTTCAATTTCTACTAAGAAAAAATTCACCATCTACAAAGTAAAATTTAAATTTTGGAAAACACAAAATTTTTCTAGACTTAAAAATATAAAAAATATGTATTTTATTACTGCAATCTGTGAGCAATTTAGGAGATGTAAAGATATTCATATGTATATTAACTTGTTCTGGTAATTGCCTATTAACGATTTCATAAGCTTTTTCATGTATAAAAGAGTGTGCATTTAATATATAGATATTAGTATGTAATACGTACAAATAATGTCTTAAAACTGAATGATTTTCTGAAAACTACTTACTTGCAAAAACACCTTTACTAACTTCATGCATACTGAAAAAAAACACGTGAATTTTTTCTCTCTTTTTTGTTATCTTAAGTGGCTTCAAAAGTGAAGAGCAAGCATTAGATCTTGGTAATAATTGGTATGTTTTAACATTTTCTTACAACACCTACATACCTGCACACGTAAATTCTTGGATTGATATCTCAACGTACGTTAATATACATATACATATCTATACATACATATAATCCCAACTGTGGATGTTTGATTACATGTTAAAATTTCAGAATATTTACTAATATAACATTAGTCCATTTTACTTAAATATTACTTTTGATGTAATATCCTCATTATTTTTTATATGGAGTTTGAGAAAAAGTAAAATAGTAAATAATAATCAATAATCTTAAACCAAATTTTTTAAATGTTTGACTCTATATTTGCTGGGATATTACGTGATTGCATATGTATGTATATACGTATGTATGTATATGATAGCCTAAGTATTTACTAACAGACTCGTATTCAGAATACAGCCTTTCAGCCGACTGCTTTTTTCTCTGTTAAACAAACATTAATCTGTAAAAAGTAAGGTAGTTATATGTATGTATGTATGTATATACAACTAACTATAGTAGATCACAACTACACACATACTACCTAACCATACATAATACATACAGTGTGTAGTGCAGTAGTTGGTGCTTTATATTTACTTTCCTTTTGTAAAGGTATTTGCACTTTCTTGTTGATGCTTTCTTTCTGCTTCTGTATGCATCAGCAGATATTGTAGAATCTACGTATAAACATTAGGGTGGTCCCGTTTGTATGATTAAAAAATAAAGTACTGATAATACTACCAAAAATAATTCTAAAATACAATTTTAGAAGATTTTTGTTCTAGGGTCAATAATTAAAAAAAATAATTAAAAAAGGATAAAAATATCCTCTTTTGAGGTTTTTACAATTTTTTTAATATTTCACGCTAAGGAATGATATAAATCATAGTTCCTGAATCATGGCTTAATTTTATTATTTATATTAAAAAATACTACGCAAAAAATTTAAAAAAAAATGTTTGATATCGCATTGAAGACCTTTTATATGGTACCAAATACTGACGTCAGGACAACAGTTTGAGAAACTTCCATTTTGGGGCCACCCTAATGTACATTCATTTATACAAACACATATATAAGTGCTCGTATGATATAGTAGTCATTACCATGAATGTTCTTTTGTACGTCCTTAGCATATGTTCCTTTCTCTTGCATCGTTAAATTAGTGCCCCACTAAAGACGACGTCTTAGTCGTTTCAATTCAATTATCAACTTTTTTCATGCTTCTTTTGTTATAACTATTTTTACATCTGATCAAAAAAGGGGCTTAATTAGTTTGAAATAGCGGTGTAAAAGTAATGTTAGCATAAAATTTTAATTACTTTACTTCAGCATTTCTTGGATGG